TAATATACAACTTCAACCACATATATTCTCGAATACATCCATAAACATCCACGAAAACATTAATATACAACTTCAACCACATATATTCTCGAATACATCCATAAACATCCATGAAAACATTAGTATACAACTTCAACCACATATATTCTCGGATACATCCATGAAAACATTAATATACAACTTCAACCACATATATTCTCGAATACATCCATAAACATCCATGAAACCATTAATATACAACTTCAACCACATATATTCTCGAATACATCCACATAAATCCTCGGATACAGCTCCAATGAGCATTTGTGTCTTTTAAAGGTGATATCATGTAAGTGGATGGTATTTGGAAAGTTTGTGTGAACTAAGGTGACACAATGTAAGTAGAGGGTTTTTGTAAAGTTTGTCTGAATTAAGGTGATACCATGTAGGTGGAGGGTCTTTGTAAAGTTTGTCTCAATGAAGGTGATACCATATAGGTGGAGGGTCTTTGTAAAGTTTGTCTCAATGAAGGTGATACCATGTAGGTGGAGGGTCTTTGTAAAGTTTGTCTCAATGAAGGTGATACCATATAGGTGGAGGGTCTTTGTGAAGTTTGTCTCAATGAAGGTGATACCATATAGGTGGAGGGTCTTTGTAAAGTTTGCCTGAACTAAGTTTGTCTCACTACCTTTAATGGCTATTGCTGTGCACAATAATGGAAGATCTAGTTACACTGGCAGTAAAGTCTCAGAAACCTTGTCCTTATAAATTTTGTATTCGTGTTTTGTGCGCAGTTATTTCTTCTTAAGTTTTAATTTTTGAAGGTTATTTTGCATGTTTTAATGGATGTAAATTAGAACACTAATATTAGTAATCTCATTTTTATTGCATTGAATCTTCTCTGTTTACGGAGTTATAAATTAAAAAATCAAACACACTTGCCAAGGCCAACTGTCACATACTCTATTTCACAAATTGTCAATAAATCTCTCAGACATTTTACATCATTTATAACCAATAGAAAAGCAAAGTATTACTCCATCAAATGACGTATATGGATACATTGTTTTCAATTCAGTGTATTATCAATTTCGTCTCCAGTTTATCTCGCAGTCTTCAGATAGAGTGTAAGGGAATTTAATTAACCCCTTCTTAATTTAGTTAAGAAGCCAGTTAAATTATAATAGTTGTAGGAGATTGTTTGCTTTGTGCAGTTATTATTATGCGTTCTTAGGTGGATTAGCTAAGTTATCTGAGTTAATGTATCAGTAGTCATCACTATAAATAAGTAGACTTAAATTTCATCAGTAACAAACAGCAAAAAAAAAAAAAAAACAACAACAAGTAAATATTGTATTTTTCTTGTATTTCATGTATATTTTTTATTTATGTTTATAAAAGTAACTAAACAGAATATACCAGATTTTTTACCATCACTAACCTATAGCCATGTAAACAGAATATACCATATTAGTTACCATCACCAACCTATAGTTTTGTAAACAGGATATACCAGATTATTTACCATCACCAACCTATAGCCATGTAAACAGAATATACCATATTATTTATCATCTCACAACCTATAGCCATGTAAACAAAATATACCATATTATTTACCATCACCAACCTATAGCCATGTAAACAGAATTTGCCATATTATTTACCATCACCAACCTATAGCCATGTAAACAGGATATACTAGGTTATTTCCTTTCACCAGCCTGTATCCACTAGAAAAGAACAGATTAATTACTATCACAATGAGAACAAAATATACCAGTTCATTTACTACAACCAACATACGAACCAAAGGGCTCATTAAATTCTGTTGAGATATTTTCTCAAAGTTCATGGGATAGAGAATAAAACAAAATTGCTTTGAATTGAATAAATTAGTTTGTGTTAGAATGTCTCGACTCCAGATAAAATATTAAAAAAGATTTTCTTGTCTTCAAATTATAATTAACATTAACTGCACCTGATTTAAAATAAGCATTTCTTTCTTTCAGAATATGTTCCTAGCATAGATCACATACGATCCATCTCTCCACTTCCCAAGGAAAGTGACCTGCAGGGTGCTGCTGACGCTCTCATTCGTCTCCAAGACACCTACAACCTTAACATGTCTGCCATGGCTCGTGGAATCATTCGGAGCAGTGGACGAATCCAATCATTTGAAGCTCATGAACAATTAACGGGTAGGCCTACCATTCCACGTGGGTAACAAAATCACAAACACGTTCATTATGTTTTTCATATACATCTATTTATAGTTTTAAATTTACTCACTAGACACACATGGATCACAACACGTATTAAGTTTTAGATATATCCATAGTTAGTACGTTACTCACCAGATATGAATGGTCCACAACACGTATTAAGTTTTAGATATATCCATAGTTAATACGTTACTCACCAGATATGAATGGTCCACAACACGTATTAAGTTTTAGATATATACATAGTTAATACGTTACTCACCAGATATGAATGGTTCACAACACGTATTAAGTTTTAGATAATATACATAGTTAATACGTTACTCACCAGATATGCATGGTTCACAACACGTATTAAGTTTTAGATATATCCATAGTTAATACGTTACTCACCAGATATGAATGGTTCACAACACGTATTAAGTTTTAGATATATACATAGTTAATACGTTACTCACCAGATATGCATGGTTCACAACACGTATTAAGTTTTAGATATATCCATAGTTAATACGTTACTCACCAGACACACATGGTTCACAACACGTATTTAGTTTTAGATATATCCGTAGTTAATACGTTACTCACCAGACACACATGGTTCACAACACGTATTTAGTTTTAGATATATCCGTAGTTAATACGTTACTCACCAGATATGCATGGTTCACAACATGTATTAAGTTTTAGATATATCCGTAGTTAATACGTTACTCACCAGATACACATGGTTCACAACACGTATTTAGTTTTAGATATATCCGTAGTTAATACGTTACTCACCAGTCTCACGTAGTTCACAACACGTATTAAGTTTAGATATATCATAGTTAATACGT